CAATGGCAGGGGGTACAGACATTAAAAAAGGGAGGAAATGAGTTTGTAGAATTAAGGCAGCCTTAGACAAAAAGGGCCAACTCTACATGTCAAAGGCTGACACCTTGATCTAAACTAAGGTTGTCAAAATGATTCTTTGCACCTTTTTCATAGAGCTCTACAGTTGAATTCATTTTCATCTGATGATCTGATTGTCCTTGAAATTTTGAATTTGAATCATATTTCATTTTTTTATGTGGATGAAAAGAAGAATAACTAGGCAATACTGTTTACTAAAATCCTGTTGATAAAATTACATTATATGTACACCTTCTAAGAACGTCAAGGCTTGTGAAGTACAACAATGTTTCTTTTGATGCAGACAAGTTTTCAGCACAGCAAGCAGTAATATATACAGCAATGAGAGAAGAAGGGTGAGATTTTAGACTAAGTATGCTACAAATGCTGTTTAAATGCTTTTATGTGCACTGTCAAAGAAGGTGCAAGAGGGACATGTTTTTTCTGGCTGTGTGAATAATAGAGTAGCACAGCACTGTGCCTCTTGAACCCTCAGCTTTGCACTGTCATTCAGCTGGCAGAAAGGCCACTTCACTTTTCCTTTACTTTGAATAAAGTGACTAGAAAATATGCTCTGCTATTAAAGAATAAGAAAGAACTTACAAACGAATAAATGTATACCTAAATATAGTATGCAATGAAATTACATAGTTATATATTATTGATTTGCTATGTAATCGTTATTTTTTCCTGGCTGACACCAGTTCATTTTTTTTTTCCAATGTCTCAACTGTCAAAACACTTGTTTTAAACAAATGCAACTTCACTATTCTTGGGATGATTCCACATTAATTTCATGCAACAGTTTAGTCAGCAGCTTTTACATGTTAAGGAAAAGTAGTTTGAAAAACTATATTTTCAAAATGTTTTTTTTTTTATTAAATTTTTTTTTTACTCTAAAAGGACCCTCAAAAGACAGATGTTCATTTACCAAGAATAATGAGATATCAAAGGCATTTAACAAATACAAAAAAATAGTTGGTTTTTCAGTACTGGCTGTGAAAGATCAGTGATCTGACTCATTAAAGACACAAACTAAGTTGATAAACTTTGGACAACATCAATATAGCTGCAAAAATAAGTGTGATTTATTACTTTAGTAATTTGTCGCTTTTTTTTTTTTACCAATTTGTATAAACACCATGATACTGTGATGTTTACATTTGGAGGAATTTTAGACCATGCTATGCCTTGCTGAGACTTGCAATATATTGCTGTAATGGCCTGAGTCACACATTCAGCAGCCAATAGCCAATGACTTTGGTTAATAAAAATAAAAAAAATCTGATTTCACAAATAACCTCAATTGTTAACTAAGGTCTAAGACACACTTAAAAGAAAGCAAACATCTGTTCTGTCTACTTATATATTTAGTTCTCATCTGTGCTCAGCAAATACATATTTGGAAGCAGCATTTGGGTGCCTACAACTAAAAAAAAAACAGGTCTACAGGACACATTTCCACTGAAAATCAACAAGAGTGGCTATTGTTAGACAAAACTATGAAGAAAATGTGTTTTTTTTTCTTTAGAGCTGCATTTCCAGGGCGTGGAACAGTGAGGGGAAAAGGGGGGTCTCAGCACCTGGAACCAAGCCTTTTAATCAACACAGTGCAGCTGTCCGATATGCTACACACTACACCCAATTCTTTCAATTACAGGTTAGAGAAGTAGGCTAAAGGTTGGAAAACAGCAGAGCTGTGTTACTAAGATTCTGACAAATGGTGGAATAAAAAAGGATTAAAAGAGACCCAAAAGCAAAGTCCAGGTGAAGAGAAACAAAGTAAAAAACAGAAGAACGAGTAAATCGAGTTAAGATCTACTGCTGAGGGTTGCCTTTAGCTCATGTCTTTGTCTACTAGAACCACTCTCAGGTCAAGACTACATCTTTTTCATTTTACATTAATTCCATTTTAGACATTTAGGTATATTTTACTGGAATTTTGTGTGATAAGAGCAATGAAAGTGATACAGAGGCAATCAAATATGAGACAATAGTTTGTGATATCTGGTTATATAGTTTGGTATGGATAAAAGTGATAATAAATCCTATTTAAACAATCATCAGTCTGCTCTGATAATTTAGGTAAGGTCATGTAGTCAATCATACATGCAATACTGTTAATAAGTCAAATATTTTCAAATAATATTTATATTCAATGTTACGTGGAGCAAAAATAACAATTACAACACTGTCATTTTGGACATCAGCAAATATCAAGCAACACCATAAGCCACAATTCTTATCACTATTTTCTGTTTTGAAGTTAATTCTAAAATAATAGCCAATCCCTTTGTTGTAAAAACAAAAAACGCTAAATAACTCAAGGATCATTGGTCAATCTCAATACAATACAATTCAAAACTAATTAGGACACTGAGAAATAAACCCCTCTTCCCCAGGGGTTCTGGCCCCAGTTCTCTCAGCCTCATTTTTGAGCGTTTCCATTAAGGCTCTTTCTGTAGCACTGGGGGGGGGGGTTTCATACCTGTTCAGAAGGTACAAATAGAGCTAAGTAGGTCTGTAATGTGACGTGAACAGTCTGCTCTACACTGATTCACCATAGGATGAGGAGAAACGAGAAATCTTTGCTATTTAGAAATTATACCTGAACTGAGGGAAAAAAAGAAACTAAAAAGGACAGAGCTTTAAGAATTGCATACAGGTTGGCATCCTGTACCTAGAGCAGCTCCACAGATTCAGCAAGTCAAAAGTTGGATGTTTGCACTTTAAAGTCGTTATCTTCATTCTTACCATGGATGAGCAAAAACTGTCTCAAAGCCAAAATTGTTTAACTTCTTCAGGCAAACTTTGGAGCAGATCACCTCAATCAGAATCCAATAACGTTGAAACTCTTCACAGGCAAAGAGCACCTGTGCCTTCTTTTTTTAAGTTCAAGCGGGTCTGAGATCCAGACAAGTATCCCAGTGGATCATATCATAAAAACAACCTTATACCTTATACAAAATTATTCTTGCACTCACAATAATATTAAAAAAATTGCATTTTGATTATTTTTTTCAGTTTATTTACCTAGTTTTTACCATAGTGTCACAAATCAATGGTTAATAGCAGCAAAGAACACCACAGTGGTAGCTGGAGGTAGGGTTTTTAGCCACAGCTCTGATAGTAGCAGGTCCAGTGCGGAGTAGAGCGAGACCAAGCAGAGAAGAGCCCTGCAGAGTTGAAATTGTCTATGTAAAAGGGGCCTTAGACAAGTGACCCATACATTTTTTGAGGAACTGCAGGGATCCAGAGGTCAGATGGGAGAAATGACAGCATGACTATTGCCCATGGACTTCACAAATCCTGCCTTTATTGAAGAGTGGTGTGAAGCATGTCATTGTTGAGATAAAGCCATTCCAAGTCCAGTTCGTAATTAACTCACAATAAATGTAGGAGGTACAGTGAACATGTGCTGGAAGCATCATACTGCAAGGATCTTTTTCCTCACTAAGGAAAGGGAAGCTGGATAGAGTAGATGGGAACATAGATATAAACATTCCTGATCGAAAACCTGACTAAGAAAATGCAGATGTTAGTCTAGCAGCAATGCATGCAGTTCAGGTAAAATGGGTTCAATCAAAGAAATGTTATATGTTAGATTGGCATAGTAAGTGATTACAGTTAAGTCTATCATTAACAAATTTGTGGACTACTGCCACAAAATTTGACAGCAACTTTAAGGGGTATCAATACTTTAGAAAGGCAGTATAAATCTGGTTCAAATGACCCATGTGAGAGATTTAGTGATAGAGGAGGAAAAGCACAGAGAGGGGAATAACCAGCACTCAGGCCCCACCCCTCACCTCCTCCCTCCAAAAAGGTAAAAGGCGGAGCTGTAATGGTCTCAACCAGGATTCTAGCTGTGTGATTGTGTGTGTATATTTTTAAAGGTAATAAAAAATACCAAGTAATGTGTATACAGGGATTTGGTAATATTATGATAAAAAAAATAACATGGAAATTAAATTTCCCACGATGAAAACACTCTAAATTAATTTATAAAACTGAACTATTAAAGATATCAGGCACAGTGCATGAAAAGCAGCATAGCAACTCCTTAAAAAAAGTGTTTTATGCTCAAATATAACCGCATCAGCTTTAATATTGATCATATAAGGAGAAAAAACAGGTTGCTTTTAAATTGGCTCGGTGTTTCTGGCAGCAATAAAGGAGGGCTGAGGGTGGAGGCTCAGTGCCAGCACAGGAGACATAAATCCTAAAGATCAGACATCAAAGAGCTGGAAAACTGCAGCCTGATCTTGATCCAAAAGTATGGTCTTCACAATGAAAGAGACTTTTTAGTGCAAAGGGAGTGATTTACAATGGATATTGTAGGATTAGGGAGTATTTTCTTTATGGGGTTGTGGTATTTTTTCAGCAATTACACATTATGAGGGGTTTAATGGTAAAAAAAAAAAAAAAAAAAAAAAAAACCAGCTCATAATACGGAATTGTTTTATTGTTTGGTCCATAGGGAAGATGTTTATTAGCTGAAACTCTCTGAAGTAAAGTGGGGAAACTCCAGGCACATCCAGTTACCTTACACACTTTAACTGATCAGTTTAACAACAGCGGCTGCGCAAAAGGAGGGATTTTTTTATTATTATTCCCACTTCAAGATGTAACTAAAACAAAAGCCTTAAATATAAGTCACATTTTCAGATACACTTGCTTTCCACCTGTTTTCTTTTTTTTTATTTTGCATTTAATGCAAATCTGAACAGGTTGGGACCAAATCCCAGTAAGTGGGAAAGTAGTTGGCACAGAGCGCGGCGCGGCGCGCACGGACAGGTTTGATGTCGCACTGAGTGTCGGAGTTAGTGCGGAGCGGGGAAGTGGAAAACTTCTAGCCTGCAGGCACGAAAATCCAACCTGGCCGCACCACTCCATATAATACTGTTATTACGGGCAATGTTTAGAAAAAGTAGTGGACTTACCGTGAAGTATCCAGAGGAGCAAGGTGCATATGAGCGGCGTGCGTCCCATGATCCCGGCCATGACCGCTTCTTTAACTTTTATTTTTTAAGGAAAAGGTGGTCACTTTGATTTTATTTTTAAGGGTAAAAAAAATTGGAAATATGGCCTTGAAAGTGTTTTCTTCTTTTCTCCAGCGCTGATTTGCCTCTCCGTATCTCTCTCTCTGTGCGAAATGAGCGCCTCTCTCTGCCTCTCCCTCTCTCTCTAGAAACCTGACGCGAGTGGCAGTCTACTTGGTTGATATATTTGCACAAAAGGTGACCCCCTCTCCTCCAAATACAGCCCCCTCCACTGCGTTCCTTCCCCCTCCTCCTCCTCAGCCAGGCTCTCCACCTCAGTTGCAATGAAAAGACTTGGTTGACTAATCTCGTAGGTCTGCTGGGTGCCCGCGGGACTCCTTTAAAGAAAGTTAAAAGTGATTTTATCATGAGGCTCTGTGACTCACAGCAAAGCCTAAAACCGTAGCTGCGCTTAAAATATTAATCACTAAGTTTCTTAGAGAAGATCTAGATTGTGTAAGCCATAAATTAGTTCTCTACTGCTCACTAACTTTTTAACTTTACTATATATATGAAGATAAAGGATAAGCATATAATCAGAGGCGGATTTAGGAAATTTGAGGCCCTAGGCAAAGACAGGCATGGGGCCCTCTGAATTGAGAAGACAACACATAAAACTTTACAATTTTGATAGGGTAGACATGTTCTACATTTTGTCCATCTCTTCTTGTTCTTTTTCTTGTTGTTTTCCTCTCTATTTTTTGTACTCATGCTGTCTCAAAAGGAACTAGAGATTTTCCAAGCACTAAGCTCACTTAGCTGATTGCTTCTTCCTGTGTTTCCAAAAAGGCGACGGCAAAAGTAAATAACACAGTCCTCCTTTTTCTGTAGACAAGCCATAATCTGCTTATCTGTTCTCCATTTTTATTTGTATGAGATAATAGCTGCATGAATCATGACAGCAGACAAGATAGAGGAGAGCAGGAGGCGGGGTTACAAATCTACTTGCTCCAGAGAGAAGAGTTTGGTGCTTTTATATGTTGTCGCCAAAGTCACCAGTAGCAGAAAAAAGTCGCTACATTTGGCACAAGGCGCTTTATTGAAATAAAGTGCTTGAGGGGTCTGAAAAGTTGCTAAATATAGCAACAAAGGTGTTAAGTTCGCAACACTCTTCTTTGCATTGTTTGTTTTCAAATGGTTTTCTGCAATCTATTTGGACTTTTCTCAACTTGTGCAGCAAATGGACTAATCCAATGTGGTAGAAACTGAAGGGGGGCGCTGAGACACATTTAATATTATAAGCGTTTTGATGGCATTTTAGCGAAAGGGTTTTTATCAAAAACATTATTAATGTGCACAAATAGGGAATAGTTGTATTAACCATACATGTAAACACAGTTTTATGGGGCTCCTGGGAACTCGGGGCCCTAGGCAACTGTCCAGTATTGCCTAATGGTAAATATGCAGGCGCAAAGCATGAAATTCTGGATCCCTTGTCTAAACTATCTTGCTGCAGCCCCATATTCACTTAAACAATATTTTGTCACATACAATTTTCTCATTGTATAAAGTCGACACAATGCTAATATACTGACTAATATTCAGTCAAAATAATGTAATTCAACTTCATGCAGATACTGGTGGTTTATGACTTTAAGGTGCAAGTAAGGAAGTGGCCCCTCCCCCACATGTTGCTGTGCAGCAACATGTCAGCTTGCTGAAATTAGATATTTTCCTTGCTAAAAAAAAAACCCAGCAAAAATCTGTCTTTCTAAATATATTTCTAAAAATATAAATAACAGTAAAAGATAAAGCGATAGAAGTCCCACCCATGACTCCTATAAGGGTCATGTTGTTTCCAAAGCATTTTGCTGCATTAAATGTATGATGGACTCCCATAACCAACATAAACCAAGACATGGAGGTGCCCAATTAGCATCTTGTTTTTACCATGAGTGCAAAAAAGACAAGTTTTACCACCATAGGCGGTAGGTAAAGCATTGTGGTGGAAGTTTTCTATTACTAAACAAAGCATAAAAAGAAAAAAAATGTATATATCTGGATGAAGACATTAGGTGTTGCTACCACTGAACTGCAGATATCAAGCACAAAAAATCCCAAACCATCACAACCTATTGTCCCAGTATAGTTTAAATATGGCAGAGAGCTGCTGGAATCACCCAAAATTTATATTAATTGCTGGCTTATAATAATATAATTCGGTGTCATTTCTGTTATTCATAGTATATTTTATTTGAAAACCGATTTTAGAAATAGCATGATAGAAAAGGAGAATTTTGTTTTTTAAACGAACTTAGTGATAGGCAGTGATATCAACCAATCGTATATAAAATATAAAAAAAAAAGATTCCTGGCATCTCTTAACATTAGAAATTATCCCAACATAATAATGGTTGGTGAAATATTATTTTTTTCTTATTGTGTTTTGATTTTTTTGATATACAAAAATTCTGTGCTTGGTTTAACAATCCGTTTGTTATTAATTATATTACTTAAAACTAAATAAAATCTTTTTTCCCCCCTACCACTCAACATACTTATTTTCATATATTTTTCATGTTTATCACTCTTGCAGCAAATGGACATATTAAAAACGTAATATCTGACATGGTATTTATTCCTAAACAAGGAATCATTTCTGAATTTGTTTGAATGTTTGAAGGATGGGGCTCTCATAATTTACAGCGTGGCCAAGAAAGTGCTACAAGGTTAGTTCATTTTAATTACTACACTGTTGTTGGTGACTGTAGTTGGTATAATCCGATCAATAAAATTGTAGTATGAAACATCCTATAACCTTAGGATTGAACAGCAGAAGTGACAGTCAAGAATTAGTACTAGTGCATTGAACCCATTGTACTGTACACCTCACTCGACAATGAAAGCATATACCTTGTCCACTACAGAGAATTTCTTTCAGCTGGAGACTATGAAGTACTTAAGGATCAACATAGCCTTCAGGTTATAAAAGTCCCACACAGAGCAGTTGCATTCAAAGACCCACATTCCAAACATAGTTGCTCCATAACAGCTGGTTAATATTTTCTCAGCCCTGTTTCAAGAAAAGCTATACCAGCAACCTGTTCCATGTCACCAAATGCACACAGCAGTCACATTTTAAGACTGGATCTGATGGCTGAGCTCAGAAGAATGCACACTCACAGCTGCTCTTCACATAAAGGGCATGGATAGAGGTGTATAAATCTACTGAGACTTCAGAGGAACTTAGACAGGAGGAGTATCTAAAACCATTCTTTTTCTATAATATGTACTCATCCCCTCTATTCTTGGATATAACTGCAGAAAAGCGGAGAATCTTGCCAGGAGGCTTCAAACATCAATACAGCTCATTCCTGATATTGACTGACTCATAACAGTCTCTCTGTGCTGTTGAGACATAAGATCCACTAACAAGACTCCTGTCCTGTGGTGAAGGACTTAGCACAGCATGGTCCTCTTTTTCTGCCTTATGTAAGACCTGTATCACGCCGCATTGCTGTAGAGAATGCTAATTTGGCTTAACATGGGGATTCTTTTCCTTTTTTTTCACGTGAGGTTTTAGTCATACATATAGTTGCTGTGATTTACTGACCTAGTTCATTACCTAATGGATCTGCAGCAGTGGAGAGGAGTGTTGAGGGTGGGGTAGGGAATGAGATGGGATTAAACACCGAAGGAGAAATGAAGGAAAAATGTATAAGATAATAGAGAATGTAGATGAATTAAAGGAACAAAGTAAACACAGACAGTTTCTCAGGGTTTTCTATTGAGGCACGTGAAGTTAATTTAGGTCATCAAAAGGAGGAGGCTAATGAGTTAATTGCGTCGGTCATGTAACCTCTTATAGATAGTGGCACACAGGGTATCTTTCAAGGAAACTGTTATCTGTGTACAGGGCTTATCATGCCCCCTTAAATCTTTACTTCTTTTTCATGATAAAATGAAACATTTTAACACATGTTTGGGAGGTCTATACTGTCTACAATGTAAATATGTAAAAATAAATAAACAAAAATATCTACTGCATAAAACTGCTTTAAAAAATATTTCTTAAGGTGGAACTTATTTTTTATAATGTTTCATCATAAAGAGTGGTGTGAATTAGTTAACTACCAAATAACTGTCAATCTCAAATTTGTACTAGACTTTGACCCGTTCATTTAAACATTCATTCATTTGATTTAGTTTACTCTTTTAGTTCTTTGTGTTTAGGTTTGTCCTAAATGGAGATGAACCTCTACCCAACAAGTACCCAAGTGCATTCCTCATCCTGCAACTTCTGGATACACCCTACTACAACTGGAAGAATACAATAGTTGGATACCATGATCCACATATTATTCAGCTCTTAAGAAGCCTCGTAATGAGCCGTAGATTTGGTTCAGGTGTGTTGGAGTAGAGATGCTTTAAACAATGACTTGTCTCCCTGTGCAACCCCAATCTTGTGTTTTCTTTTACTTGCTACTCATTTTTTTAACAGTCAGATTTGCAGAGTATACACCTAATATTGTCCTGCTGACAGATTAACACACGTGAGCAAGGGATCTCCACAGTTCCTCCTAAGTTAGCATGGATTTATTGACTGCATGACTATGTCTTAGTAGATTTGCAATTGTGCAATCGTTTTTCCCTTTTTTTAATTATTCACAGATTTGCATCTCAACAAATGCGTTAATTTCTTTTTTTATTTAGTAACTCTGCGATGGTGTCCAAAGTGTACTCCTACTTTCGCTCATTGACTGCTAGCCCCCCTTTACTGGTTGGATGGATGGATGGATCAATGTTTAACAACTTTATTTGGCAAAGTAAATAAAGATAACTGGTCTGTGCTTATAAAGCGCCTTTTCAAATCAGGTGATGCCAAGGCACTTTACTCTACCTTAAGTCATTTACCCATCGATTCACACAGTGATTCTAATTATTCAATTAGATCACTAATATCACTGCTTAGCATATTGACTTTGCTTGCTTTCTCCGTCTCTAAATCATATCAGGTCTCTTTGCCTCTAAAAAGTTTCATAGGTTCTATTTTAGTGCATATTACATCAATTTTCCTGCTGCTGACACAGAAACGGGCCACAGATGGAGCAAACTGCGCCGAACTCTCTACCATGGTATGTTCCCAGGGCAGGTGGGATTTAATTACCTCAGTTTCATCCAAACAGACATGTCCAGAATACTTA